GCCCATTCGTGCAATGGTGCACAATGTTGCGTGGCCGATAAATGTTTTCTTTAGTTATAAATTGAGCATTGGTTACCCAAATTCGAGAAATAAGAAGTCTCTCATAAAAAGATTGAATACATTATTAGAATTGAGCATTTTTTCTGTTTCTGTAAAGTTTTTGATGTGTTAGTTCGAAAGTTTTGTCGTTCACATTGCGAATTGGTAAAAATAAAAAATGATACAAATTCCTTTTTATACGTTCAATTTAGGTAAAATTTATGACCTCTGTTTATCTTATGAGTGACAAGTGTTTGTTTTGGTTAATATTTTAAATATAAACAATTTTCTTCAAACGTTTATCATTCGACGAATTTTCTTCGAGCAAATATCATTGGATCAAATGATTACACGGCATGGTTTGAAATTGGTGATCAATAGAGAGAATCAAATAGGTTACGATGGCAAACAGAACTTGCAAATATATAAAACAAAACGATTTATTAAGAATTTAACACGTTCATCTATTGCACTAGGCGTGGAAGCTGCGAAACATTCAACAAATCGGAATTTTAAACAGCATTCCGAATTGTAGTTTCATCGCTGTATTTTTATCAGCTCAAACGTAAACTCCCTATGCCAAACCATTACGTTGAGTACAAGTACTGACTGAACATAAGGTTGTAGTCGCTTGACGCCGAAGTCAGTTATGCCTAAAACATGCATAAATTTGTTCTTGTCACAATAAGGTTCCATGACGTATATTGCGTGAATGACACCATTGCTTTGTTTTTAATGGCACGCATTCGTATCAATCTCGAATTCCACCCAAGGATAATTTCATAACAGAGCAGCGTTTGTTGTTATTGTAAATTAAATCGAGAATCGAGGCACGTGCATTGTGTCTATGCGTACACGTACAACACTAACACCCGATTACTGATTAACGTAGAAATTAACTAATCGGTTGTCAAATTGTTAAAGGTCGTAAACAACGCAAAAAACTTTTTTTACTTTGTTTAAATTAGTAAATAGGATGGTTTAACACTTTGTTTTCAAATCAAATTGGTTTTGTCAACCTAACGGAGTTCGATTCCCTCAGCGTAATATTTTCTAAATAACAAATTTGATTAAAAATTTTAATTTCCTAATGTTTTAGTTACACATGACAAGGACCTACAACTAAAATACTGATACGAAACATGTCATTGGTGATATTTGCTTTTAAATCCTTTGCCGTAAATAAGTATTCTACCTCACAATATATAGGTGAACGTAATTGCCAGTAGAAACAATACAAAATACAAACGTTACGAAGCGGAAGTCTACCGACTCTACACAGTCGTTATTTTTTTGCTTCGCTTCAAAATATAAATTTGGCGTTAATGAATATGTCGGCGGTTTGCATCCGTTTTTGCATGTTTGTACAACGCCTCGAATGAAGCACGGCAATCGCTATCTTGGAAATGTTTATATATATTCAATTCAATCCAAAAATCTTTATTCAATAAAGAAGCATAGCACTTACATAGTGGTTGACAAAATACTACTACCGGTTCGTAAAACAAGGCTATTTTTTGGTAATAGTCCTTATAACTGTCATTGACCTGAGAAGAACCGGCGAAAGAAACTCAGAGAACATGATAATTTATATATATTTTGACTACAGCCGTGTTTATTTTGTTGAAGAATCTATAACTCTCGTCAGTGTACCGAGATGTTATGTCGAATTTATCTCGAACAAAAGCGTCTACATTAGCTACACATCGATCTTCTGTTATACGGTCAAGGTCATTGTTTGCAGATTCTAAGAACTCTCACCACAAGCCTCGAACCTACGACTTCACTTATGATGCCATCGCCGACTTCATATATCCAATCCCTTACCAAATTTAACTATTTTTTTATCAACTTTGAAACGGCGCCGACCCGTAGGCTATTACGAATAATGAATAAGAGATCCGCGCAAATGGCAACACCACTCCGCGTAAAGACAATGCGCCGCCGCGCTTCCGCATCGACGTCTGTTTTTTCCACACACAAGGCTATTGCCAAGGCCTCGACTTTCTACCCACCAACGGGTTCCGAAGATTCCGCTTGAAAAGTTCAAGATGCTTTTTTTCCTATGAAAAGTTCCTGTTTTTAATGTATTTAGGTGCTTACACTTTATAAATTAAACTATGCCTACGGATTTATCGTGTTTATTTTTAACTCTATATCTATATCTGCAAATATCGGACACAACATTAATAATTTAAAAAAGTGACGGTAGCCCGAGATAATTATGACATTCAGACGTCCAACGCCTCAGTTTTTCCCGTGACCTTGAACGCTGTAAAGGGTTCAAAACATCGAAAATTAAAAATATACTCGATATATCCGTAAAAATAGTTTAGTTTTCTACAAAAAGTCATTTATTTTTTAGAAAATGTGAATGAGCCTGCCCACACCGATTTTGTTTTAAAAAACTCATTTCTTTTAATTGATTCCTATAGGCGTTCTAAATTATAACACAAGTAGCATAAATACTATTGTTGAATTCATTACGAATTTTAATGCTGTATTAATAGCTTTAAAATGTTTTTGTGTTTATGAATTAATTGACCCAAACACGTTTTAATGTCCTTCATTTTTATTGATTAAATCTAATTTAAAAAAAGTAGACAAGAATTGCATGTAAGTGTTTATAATAGAAACTATTACTAACATTGTACATAATAAATGTCCCACTGCAGCACTGAGTAAGTTCATAGACATAGATGGTATTAGGGCATAGTCCACCACGCGACTTCACATATCTTCGAAATGTTTTTTTGTTATTATTTCCATAATATACAGGTTTTCTTAAAGTATTATACTTCACCACTGAGCACGTGATAAGTCAGCACTTGAAAATCACAATTTCATTGGTGCTAGCAACAGGGATTGGACTCAGGTTGGTCGAGTATATTGAATTAATAGCGAGCATCCGGACAATGAGTTATCAAGACTCTTTTATTTTAAATATAGGTACATAAATTTTTAATAAAATAAGTTATATTATGCTGCCAAATAGTGTCCTTATTTAATTAGTAAACGGTTTAAAAATGTTGGAAAAACGTAAGGGACTTTCCCTTTTTTGATTGCATACAATAGTTTATATTGGGTATTTATTTTTTAGTATATGTCAACTTACGTATTGATTATTTCCTGTTAATAAAGTGTATGTTAATCAAACATTTTTTCCATTCCTCACCTCATTTGGTATCGTAATTAATAAACATTCATCTTTACATCCGCATTGCATCATCCGATGGGAGAAAAACTGTTAAACGAAGAAAAATGTTATTGTGTCTTAGCCGGATATTGCGATTCCCACAATTAAATGGTCCGTGATAAAAATTCTTCGTAGTCCTGTTTGACCGCTCTTCCTTGTGACGCGGGATGTTAACAGGATCTTATTGTAATAACGAACTAATTGATTTCTGCTGACAGTATTTGTTTGTTAGACTTCAAATGACAGGGCCGTTTAACAATTTGAAAAAAAAAGAGAATGAACAATTTTTTGATATCTTTTCAAAAAAATTTCCTTTTAATTTTTTAAATACTTGCTTAGACTAAATTTTAAAAGTTGATTATTATGGCGGGATGACATTTAAGTCCCGCTGTGCATAGTACATACAACATAACGATTTGTTATTAAAATTTTGGATTTCATAAAGCAAATTTCTAGCATAGGTAAGGAATTTTAAGTAAGTTCCGAATGTTTTTTGTACGAACACTTTACAATTTCCATATTTTCCCCAAATCGGACTGATACTAATGAAGTGTTGCTCATTGTAAAATGAAACGTGAGGAAAGCGTTCCCAACAAAAAGGTAGTTTAGGATTTCTAGATGTGGCGAAAAGTAGCAATTGCGTTAGTGAGTCGATTCTGATTGGGGCGTAATGATTTATTCGTTTTGCGACGTTTAGGTGGTTCAGTTGCTAACTATTGGCACTGGTTCGTCGGTTTCCAACTCTGGACAAGTGTTTGTGTGAGCCAAAGATAATTTTTACAAATTTGGGTATTTGTATGGAAGGAGGGTTATGGTCAGGCAAGTCAATAACAACATGATTCACATGTTTCGCCGACCCCGCTTAAATAAGGATAGGAGGAAGAAAGAAGGGGCATACGTCTCCGTCTTTTGTCTGCCCTCGGTGAACGCGTAGGCAGACATGGCATTACTTGGCATGTAAGGGGTTAATAAGTTCAATAAAAATCTGCATTATCTGTGGTTTGCTTTACTTTTACTGCCATTTCGACTGTTATTGATATCGAAGTTCACTTAGCGGAAGGTGTTTATGAGGTGTAGGTGGCTCATGACTTCAGCAATAGTGTTAGTTAAACTGGGGTATTGTCAGCTTTTAATGATTAATATTACCCGATATTATCAAAATCGCTTCCCATCTACATGTATAGATGCCGGCTGATTAATTCAGAATGATTAATTCAGAAAATTCTAAAAAAAAGCTAAGCATATAACCCACTGTGTAGATAAGCAAGCATAGCAGGGTAAAGAAGTATTTTTAGGTAGAGCGATCACGTAAGCTATTAGACGACTGTATTAAAATCTCAGTGCTAAGCTATAAACTTATAGAATCCACTATTATTATGTCTTTATCATGACAGTAAAATTCTGCACCCTTTTTGAATAGTTGCTGCTGAAATAGTTTTTTTCTAGGTTACTAATCAAATTCATCCAAATGCGAGTCGGACTCGTGTACGAAGAATTCCGTAACATAATATATAACAACGGCAAAAAAAAAACATGTCTGTTGTAAGGGAGTCTTAAATATATTTTTATTCTTTTTTTAGTATTGGTTGTTATAGTGACAACAGAAATACATCATCTGTGAAAATTAACTGTCTAACAACTATCACGGTTCATGAAATACAGCCTGGTGACAGACGGACAGACAGACAGACAGCGGAGTCATAGTAATAGGATCCCATGTAACCCTTTGGGCACGTAACCCTTAAAAGTACTTATTAAATATTTAATTTGAACTAATATCGAAACCCGAGAGAAAGCCTTCGAGGTTGCCCCGCCTCTTTTTGCTGGCGTCGACGGAATTGAATGCGTCTAGTTCGCGACGTTTAAGTTCATTGTCGCCGAGTTTCGCAAGAGCGCGTCTCGCGTGAAATTCCACCTGCTCAGAAAGTGGAGTGTTGTGGTCCGCGCCCGGCCGTCCGGAACGGAGGCAGTAAGAGTTGCGATTAATTAAAACTCTCGATGTTACGTCTGAGTTATCGTGCAGTTGGAATTCCGTTGTCATGGTCACGGAGTAGGCGGGATATGTATTATATATGGATATGAGTAGGGTTTTAAGATGAGGACCCCCTTCTAGATGGAGTCAATAGATGCAGGTAGCTCAGGATCGCGCTTCGTAATGGTTGGGGGGCCTTTTTTAATCAGTGGACTCGAACAGGCTTAAAAGATTTTGATCATAATGGTGATGAAGACAGAACACCGTATAGTAACTTTTAAGGTGAGTATAGAGTGAGCGTTGTGCTAAGGATTGCAAATAAGGCAATCAAGTACGGTGGTAAAACCACGCAATAGATTTTACGGTTGCACAATTGGACAGGCTCGTTCGGGGATGACCGGCATGAACTGGAAGTATGCTTTTGTGATTCGTGTGGCGAAGGAAGTCTGGCACCTTGCGTATCTGATGATTTTTATTACGATAAAATATAGCTCAGTGTTCGGACGCACGTTATGAATTCAATACACTCTAGCAACCTGAGTCAAATCCCAGTGCCGGCACCAATGAAACTGTTAATTGCACTTTAATGTCCTGACTATTAGGTGTCCCAGCGGAGAAGGCATCGTGAGGAAGCCTGGATATTTTCGAAATAGTAATAAAAAAAATATGTTTTGAAGATATGTGAAGTCTGCCACGTCGCGTGTTGGTTTATCACCTAATACACCCTGTGAACAGTTGAGGCCTTTGTCTAGCAGTGCGACATAATTATGTAGCCTGTTCCTTTACTTCTTTTTTTACAATGAAGTTTCGATATGCCGGTTGTAGGAAATCGAAAGCTGATAAAGCATTGTTTTTAACCTTGCTTGGCGTTTTTATGGAAATTTCCAAAAAATTGTTTGCCGCAAAAATAGTCTCTTCACACATAAAGCTGTTTACAACCCATCTGCCATGGATAACACTCCGATAACAAACTAATTTCATAAGATAGAACGAAAACTTTAAAAGGGAAACAAAACAAAGAAAAGAAAATCAATTTGCAACACCCGCGATGTATCATCAACAATATCTTGTGCCACATTAGTTCGATAGCAAAAGGATAGAAGCTTCGATAGCGATTTGATATAATGATATAATTAAAAGAAACGACTTGGTCTCGTGTCTCAATTTGCGGTGCTGGGAGCAAAGTTAACGCGCGAAATGTGTTAGTCTTTTCCGGGGAAAAGGTTTCTTCCTTCATGTGCAAACGGCATCTGAGCAGTAGAGTTATCGTATTATATATATTTTTATGTATTGTATATATTTGTATAGCATTTATAATTAATAGCATTTATTTATAAATGCTATACAAATATAAAAATTGTCCCGCTGAGTTACTTCCGCCGGTTCTTCTCAGGTCAGTGGCTTTTCTTTTCCGTTAGCAGTAGAATTTTGTGAATCACTAAGTAAGTGCAATGTTTCTACATTGATATTTGAATTTTAATCTGAACATGTTTACGTATGATAGGGTGCGTGAGGGTTCCGATGTCGTGTGGGTGTGTGCTCTTAGTGCGTATTTGTGAAATGATTCGTTGGTTTATCGATTGATTTCTAGTAGAGATTATATTCAATTAAACTAAGAAACTTCAATTAAAAAAATCAAAAGACTAACTAATTAGGTGGTTTTCCAATACCAATTTGCGCTTCGGGTTATTAATGCCACCGTTTACACGTCCATCAATTTTCGGTTGCGCTATTGTGACTTGTAGTTCAAACGGTTGATCCAGCTCTTTGCTCCATTCCCAAAGAAGACGAGTATGTCTTGGATGTAACAAGATGTCGCCTTACGCCATCGGCCACGAAAAAGTAATCATCGATACAATGTTTATGCGAACATCACAAACTGACATTTACAGAGTGATGAACTTTGTACGTTCAGAGCAATTTCACCTCTGACCCATTCTGTTAATACTTACACTTAATATATGGCGACATGTCGAAGAGACGCCGCGCGGTCACGATTTTCGTGTACTATTTTTTTAGTGCCATTAATTTTCAAATCATCGGTCCGTAATCGGCCATTATTCTAACATTTATCTAGTCGAACGGGTTTTTTGAATTACCCGTAAAGTCGTATAATAATTCCGTTTCTGTTTCTTGGAATCAAGAAGGAAGGAAGGGAAAACCATCAACGCCTTCAGATTTAGCATCGAAAGTTTAGTCAAATTGGCTCCTTGGCACATGGAGGCATGAGACACAAAACCAAAAAACTGAAACTCAACTCCATTTTATATCCAGTGTAGCTGTTTATAGATATAGATATATACCTTGTAAAACTAGCGGAACGACAGACTTTGTCGTGTACAGACGACTTAAATCCGACAACAACTTATTAAAAAAAAAGTTGTAGTTAACCGAATTGTTAATCTAAACCATTCTTGAATCTACCTACGGTTCAGCCTTTTAGGAGGAGTTCAGTGGCAAAAACACGTACAGAAGATTTATATGTATAAAGATACTAGCTTTTCGCCCGCTGCTTCGCTCGCGTTAAAACCCTTAAGTAAATATTAAGAATTTTCACCCCTTTACAAAACTTTTTTCCAATTTAAAAATAGCCTATGTCTTTTCTCAGGCTCTAGACTATCTGTGTACCAAATTTCATTGAAATCGGTTCAGTAGTTTTAACGTGAAAGCGAGACTTACAGACAGAATTACTTTCGCATTTATATTATTAGTATGGATTACAGATTAGTAAAAAACTGTGTATCTTGCATTCGTTTTTCGTTCACTTTACCTTGATTTTACTTACTTTGGGCATTTATGCACAAGAACATACAGAGCACATACAGCTGATTGATTATGAGGTCTCCGTCTAAGATATGGTAATTGAGGATATTATTTTATCCTTCTATGTCTACTACAGAAATGCTTTGGGTTTGCCTTTGTTAATTGTGCATGGAGTGTATTTACAGATTATATCTATGAAAGGAGTCAATGTATAAAATCAAAACCTCGGCGGAGAAACCTACGCGTCAGGGAAACACGTTCCGATCGATAAGTTTAGTTCTCAGTTTTACCATTTGAATCATATTAAAAAAATCTTAATTAGTGGCATTAAGACACGGGCCTTCCCGATACGAAGGTCGAATGGTTATCGCATTATAAAGTACCTACTTGCCCGTCATCGTTCTGCATATGATATGCCAACAAGTGAAATTGCTGAACTCGCCTCCGATGACGTCAACTTTTCTCCATAATTTGCCACCTTTGTGGCACGTAGGGGGGTTACTGAACATAATTTTATACAGTGTTTTCCGTGTATAATGTTAATAGGTTGGATAAAGGCAGCTGATGATATGTACGTGGATTATTTGCACTTCAGATATACTTAAATTGGAGAATCTTGAGTATATACAGTAAACTTCTAGCCGATCGCCAAACTTTTTTTATTATGTTTCTTAACTTTTTGTTTTCTCGTAAGCCGTGAATATCCACGAACCGCCGTGGTCGACTCCTTTTACTCTCACCAAACGAGAGGCAAAAGTACAAAAACTTCTTTACCACCGGTTAACAATCGAACCGATTGTTCCTAAGCACAGTGTCCCCTTTTTGGCGCATTATCTGCACCGTTTTGTGCAGTGAAAATAAAAACTTTCCTAGTTCCGGTGTCCGTTGTGTTAGTCTGAACGCCGGGTTCTTCGAAAGCGAAAACATCGTCGCCGCGCGAACCGATACGCGAACGAATTCGACACGTTCGCACAACAACACTGATAAGCGACGCTGCACTTCCACAAACAGCGATATATCGATCATCCACCTCTGTCAGCGCCACAGTGATAAACGCTATCGCGCGACGCGGCCAGCTGTGCCGGAAATTGTAGTGAATATTGAGCGGTGACGTCACTGCCTGCGACTGCACAGCAGTTATAATATCCTCGTGCCTGTGCGTGTCTTTGTCCGATAGAGTTTCTGCTGTCATTTCTATAGAACACTAAATATAGAGCTATATATTGTTAAAAATTGCGTTTATTGAACACGCAGCGGTGTTTGCTGTTGCCTGAATGGGCAGACTCGCGCTACGGCCGCGCGTATGACTGGCAGAAGAATTAGAAGTATTATACCCTTACAATTTTAATTTCGTCTGTTCGACCGCACATATGACTAGCATGAACCCTAGATAATTAAAAATGTAAAGATATACCCCTAGGTATATCTTTACATTTTTAATTTCGTAAGTTGAAGTTGGTAACCGGGATCAATAGGATAACAACGCGTCTGCAGGGATAGTGGAATTTGTAGTTGTATTAGTTTTTTGTGTGTGGAAGGGATTGGTCACAGCATAGTTAGTCATAGCGATTACTGCGACTTATAAAGATCTATTAACTATAGGAGAGAAGACTCCCTTCGAAAACATTGCCCTCTTACTTTAGGATAACATTATCCTGTGTTGTAAAGACGTTTTATATAACTTTCAAGTGGACAAACAACCAGGTCCGATTCAATTATTTCTCCGTCACATAAATAGTTGTATCGTGTCGGAATCGAACCCACGACTCTCGGTGCCGAAGCCAATACCTTGGAAACTGTGCCACGGTGTCAAAGTGGAATGTGATTGGGATTTCTGGAATAAGAAGTTGTGCATGTTTGTAGAATGCAAATTGAAGGCTTTGACTTCTTTCATAGAATTAGGTATTTCCCAAATAAAAATAATCATAGTACTTCCATTCTATCATTTCGAATGAAACAATTATTAATATGGACAGTCGTCCGTTTGTCAGACCCAGAAGTCAGTGAAAATTTATTCAAAAATATTTTATTTATATTGTATATATATGGACTCCAAAACGGCTAGACCGTTATAGTGAAAATTTCAGAGAAAATTTCAGATTAGCCGAGCGGATGATCCTGTCCTGTGCAGTTAAGAAATTTTCCATTCAACATATTTTTTAATAGTTATTGCTACCTATACATTTTCAATAAAGAGCAAAGGGACTAGCGGCAGTGAAAAACGTCAGTTTATAAATGAAGAATAATTTGCGCGTATATTTATATTAACACCGTCACAAATTAGTAACTTTTGATACAAATGACAGAGTCACGTCTGCCCAGATGGTGTGGTTCAGACGTCTCGTGTTAAGCTCTAAGTATTAGTAACGATAGTAACTTTATACAGTTTACTTATAAATTTCAAGTACATACGGCTGAGATTTAAGGCAAACTTCCTGGTTAGCTTCCGTATTATTTTATAAACAATTCTCATATATCGACAGCATACTATATTGCATTATTTTAAGTGAAAAACATAAATAGATAATGACTTAATAAAGATGTTCAAAATTATTACAGTGTAAACATCGCTTAAAGCCTGAAACTCCTATTTTCATTTTTGTCTAGAGATGATATTTCTAAAACCTTACTTATATAGATTAGTGTACATTAGGGAACTTCTCAAAATCAAATGTAAAATGTATAGTGAGTGATGAGAATTGTTAATTAAAATTTACTTGATTCTACACGTGTTGGAAGCTATGGCGTTAGCTTCATGACTGATTTCGAGCGCTATCTCTGAAAGCGGATATTAAGATAATACTTTATCGGCTATTGTTACTCGAAATGTTACATAAAACATTGTTGCGGAACCGGCTAACTGTGCGCTCGGACGAAATTTTAACTGAAGGCAATATTTTGTTATTACTCTTGCATATTGCACATATGAATATCGAAATACGTTATCGGGTTTCACAAGGAGTTACGTGATTCTGTTTGGTCACTTCCACGAATTTTACGAGAGCCGAGCTCGTATTGATTTTGTGAGGAGCTATGTGATCAAACATGCCCTGAGTGTCATCGGCATGCTTTGTATTAAATACATAATTCATCATGCCATTGAAATCGAACTAGCCCAAATTTAGCTGTGTACAACACTGACCAGTAGCTGTGACTATTAGCCTTTTTTACAGCGGTTCACGAGTTAAATCTGCTTTCTTTAGATACAAAAAAATCGATTAAAATTTTTACGCGGCATACAATAGAAGCTTAAGACTCTTCCCCACGATATACATAAACTTGCTTAAAAAACTTATTTTAAATAATGAAAAATCCTTTTTCAAATTCGGTACTAGAATAAAAACAAGATCTTTATTTAGCTCATGTCAGCTTAGCGAAATTAATATTTACAAATTAGGGCAATTAACGTTTCCGATTCTCGAAAAGCTGAATAAGTTATCAAGGATATTAATAAGACCCAAAGCGTGGCACATGATAAGTATGTTTCCATATCCGAAACAAATGTGTAACGGTGAGGTTTACACTTAGTCTAAAATAGGCAGTCTCATGGTGACTGGCGACAGAATAATAATAATAATGGTAATAATACCATTACAATGGAAGTACTTAATGCATTCAAATATTATATTCAGCCATGGTTGTCTCTAGTTTAGCAGCTTAGAAATTTATTAACTTTTTACGTATGCTGAGCGAGCGCTCCTTCTTTAGCACCAACGCACCTACATCTCCAGTCATGGTCGTTCGTAAGCAGCTGTCTGTACTACCGACTCCGAATGCCTACTCTGCTCTCATTCCGAATTTCTTTCAACTTTCCTTCAACTCTCCTCGAACTTTTAACTGTGGTAGGGCCCCGTAACAGTGTTCGCTGTTGCACGAATGCTCAGGTCCGTCCGGGCTAGTACCACGACCTCACAGAAGATCGGCGTCAAGTAGAAGTGTTACACTTCTGCGTTTCGTCTGGCGAGTGAGGTAGCCGGGGCCCACTTTACTGAAAGTTGACAACGCATCTGCAACCCTACCGGTGTAGCAAATGCCCATGGGCGACGTTTATCAATTAACACCAGGTGAACCGCCAGCTCGTTTGCCACTTTATCACATTACAAAAAAAACTATCGCAGCATATGAGGATGGAGTGCTGAGCATTTCTAAAGCGGAAGAGCGAATCGGGCGCTGTCAATTGAGGGAATCTTAGAAGTGGCGAAAGGGAATGAGGCGGGGCTGTGTGCGTGAGTTAGTTGAGCTGAATTCGCGACGGGCCCACATACTGTGCGTCTGATTTGCGTTATTGTTCCCGCGCGGAGCGTGCCCGGCCAGACGCGGAGATACCGTTTTATTGGGCTAACGAGCAGCCTATGTAACTGAACTTAGATGTTGTTAAACGGACGGGGCGTTGGCTATGTTGAGGGATCTGCCTGAAGCATTGTGTTGAAAAAAGTAAAGTAATTGTATTGCATTCAGAAGACTTTCTAAAGAAAGCGAGGCTATGGCTATAATCCTGTGGATGTACATTCTCTCATGATGTTTAACGTTCCGAGATTTCCACTATGGATGCAAGACCGTTTCTGGAAACATCGTCGATGATTTGATTGCCCGTCGTGGTCACATTCAAATTTTAACATTATAAATACATATAATTTATAAAATTTAGTGTCTAGGGTCTGGCAACATTTAATAATCTGTCACATTAAACTGTCACGAAAGATTTATACGGCATAGATTACTATGTCCCTAAGGATATTTTGATATAACCTATTCATGTCAAACTTAACGGAAATCTAATACTAACTGACAACTTTCGCATAATTCAATTACCTAGACCTAAGACCAGGCATCGAACTATTCAAAAATGTACAATCCAAATAGGTGTAAACAAATCCCACATGCCTCTGTACGAAAGTGCGACTGACGGAACAACAAAACCCAACACTCATCGGGGGGAGTACATAAAAGATTCATGACACAAGCATCGATCAATTACGGCCGCGGCCCCGCGCAGACGTTGGCGTGGAATAGACACGATCGAGGCTGGCGACAGATGTGTTCGCCGATGACGCCGCCGCTCCGAAGCGGAAGGGTGGCGGGCCTTCAATTGGCACAATTGCCAGCAATTGTGGGCGGAATGTCCGGGCGACGGGCCCGCGCCGCCGTCGCCCGAATAAAATGTGGCGCTCAGACGCGTTGGCTAATTGGTCCACCTTTCGATTGTGGTTGCGCGACCGCTCGTGGCTGTGGCAACCGATTCTACCGCGGATTGTGCCACCGATATTTGTGCTCCGGTGGCAATGTTTTGAAGTCCGATTGGATGTAAAAGGCGCCTTTTACGCGTTTACTTGCAACAGCGTAATATATGTCTCACTGGGCAAAGGGTATATCATAAGGGTTTCAGGTGTCATATATATTTGAAATACTTTTTCTTTACTGCTATTTCTAAAGTATGCGGGTTTCCTTAGGATATTTTCCTTCACCGAGTATTTGGTTGGCTACTTTTGGAGCGTTACATTGCACATCTATCCTTCATGACTTTAACAACGACATATTTGCGTATATAATCTATATTGTGCGTTTTGAAAGTGTTTATGAATGAAACTAATTGTTTGTTCATATCTGCTCCAACAAATTTATTTTAAAAAATGAGTCCTAATATGATGGTAAAGATTTATATATATTTTAGTATAAACTAACTATATATAATACAATTAATCGAGCACAAATTGAAATGGAGTTTCATACATTTAAAAATCTGGAGAACTAAGTGTGTTCATTTCACTGTCAATATTCCTAACAAATATCTCATACGATTAATAACTATTAATTTTATAATGTGAATAGATTATTAGAAAAATTACTACTGAAAGAATCATTTTGGTGTAGTTATTTTCGGTCGTGATCTTAATCACAGATACATTGAATAGGTTATATTGAGTTACTAATTAATAATGTCTAATAATTATTTTGAAAATATCATTTAATTTATGTGTTTTTTTTTTCAGTTGCACTCACCATGCAAATATATTTATAAACATCTTTGTTTCAAAATTAACTTAGTTGTTTTACATATCAAGAAAGTTCAGACATTATTTTTGACATGGCAATCATATGATGTGTCTTCATGGAGCGAAGATAGTCCAAAACGTAACCGAGCGTCGAGCTTGTCGCCGCATGATCTAAAACCGAGACAGTTGGTGATTGCACGCAAGCAATCCTATAAACGGAAAACTTATTGGTACACGCCCCTGGGGTTCCAAAGATATGAGATTGTTAGTCAGTTAAATTACCTCAATAGGGTTAGCATACTGGTGATGTGTTTTTTATACTTCATTTTAATGATATACCTTGTGCTATTAATGTAGCAGGTCCTTTATTCGTCATAACATTTTTACGCTTAATCAGCGATAATGAATACGTTGGCTAATTCTAATGATTCTCTTTTAATGATCTGTCATATATAGGCTTAAGTTAAATTACCTTGTGTTAATTTCAACTTTAATTTCTCTTTAAAAAATTGGACACATTACAGCGTCCGTGATCATAGGATAGAGTGAGTTATACTTATATTGATATTTCATATAATACAAACATAAAATAACTTGTTACATATTCAGGTTACATCTTTTGTTACATTTGTTTGTTAAATTAATTGATTTGATCCATAATTCACGTAGCGGCTCATTTGAATTTGTTTTGGCCAGCCGCATCACTTTTATCGGTCAAACATGCAAATTAACTTTTCATATTAAGAATTACGATGACAGACTAAGAATGAACTTCCTTCGCAACTATTTCTATCCGCACCGACTATTAGTTTACGAGCACGTATTCAGGTCACGTCATAAGTTTAATTGATTACTGTACGGCGGCACTTTTATGTGATCTGTGTCGCGCGTTTCCTCAAATTAAAAATGGCAACCCTACGATGTGGCGGTCACGATTGGCGCGCACGCGGCGCTGTACGACGCGGAAGTCGCACACACTTCCGCGTGCCGCCATCTTGGCTTAACCGCACGGGATCGCCTCTGCCCGCCGCGCATCATGTACTCGCTGAAATAAGCGTCTCGCTGTGTTTCAATTCGGCCCTCGAATAATACGTTTAATTGATGACGACTGTTTTACATTGGTGTCAATGAATAGAATTGATGTGAACAGGAATATTTCGGCCACTGTACAGTTTAGCCAATGGTACAGTGATGCATTTATTAGATACATGCTTTAAGATGCGACGTTTATAAGTATTCATTTATAATTTGTTATTATTTTTAATGAGTCTGTGATAATTGAAATTTATTTAGTTTTAATTAATGGATAGTGAATGTCGTTTGGTAGTACAAATTGAATTCATTTTAGACACTTACCTATGATGCGTATAAAATGAATGGATAAAAATTACGACCCATTGAGAAAGAAGAACTTAAAGCTTAGATAAGCACGAATACCTGTATGTACCAATATTCTTATCTGGTTTGTAATGATGATACAATTAGTCAACTAGTGGATTTTAAACGGTGTTGTAATCGTCCGGTATGCGTTTGCGAATTCCCAATGGTTGCTTTCGTGATTGCAGTTGCCAATTTACATGAGGCATTGCGTGTAACGCGAACAAAACCTTCCCCTCACCCTCTCTTTCTAATTACGGAATATCGCTATGAAACAAAAAGAGATGACCCACTTTCGGGACCGGTCGTACGAGATCGGGTGCGCACCGTTGCACGTATTACGTGTTAGAAAAGGTGCCAACACCACATGGTAAACATCGGACATCTTCCTATTGAAACAGGAAAATCTAAAATTAAATCGGGCTTTTTTATTTTTTGACTACTTAAAGCCGTACTAAGTTTTCACTATCTTCGTTTCAATAACCGCTCAGCGCTTTGTAAACTTTATATTATTGTTAATCTATAATATAGCAATAATTGATTATAGTCTTTTATTCAACCCTTTTTCCACAATTCGGTGGATTTTGCCGGTTTTCACAGAGAAACGAACGTACCTTTTGTGTTAACCAATTATTTATTTTATTGTAATGATTTATTTAATTTACGCGAATACTATTATACTATCCATTGTATTTAAATTTTTTCGGGGTTATCGCGTGTTAGTTTGTAATTACATCTGATGACGAGAGGCCTGGTTCTTTTCTCTGAAATGCAGATTGCATTTCTGGCACAACCTCATGCGTTTAGATTTTTTTTTATATAATCTGTAATTAATTCTTTTTTTATAATGGCTTACTTTGTGAGTTTTTACAATTCATCCATTGTCAAGTTGTTTTTAAAGTTCTAAATTTTATAATATTCAAATTAAAATCGTAACAGACAAATAAAAACTTCAAATATCTAGAACTTAATACAATAACTTAATACTTGAAAATACTGAAATGGCCGTTGGTAAGTCAAACGTCTTTTTGAGTATTTCTTCATTAGTAATTGAAGCATTTTCGAAACACTAACCTTTTCGCTGAATTGAAAAGTCAACTTGTCCAACAAAGTGACAGTCCCATGGAGACAGCATTAAGAAGATGGGGTTATAGAGTATGAATGCGCTCGACTCAAGTAACGGATCGTACCGATGTGAATTTTCTCGCCCTAATAGCTTTTTGCATCGGTTGCCGATTCCACGTGCTCGTTGTGAATTACGCACAGCACCCGTAATAAAGGGACACGTGAACATTACCGTTGCGCAATTTGCACATGACCTATTGTCTTGTAACATATGAGCTGTTGTCCATTATTTACGACTCCCGGCACTAGGAAATGATTTTGCGTCGCGGGTTTCAGCAACATGAAAAATGCCGGACACGAAGTACGCCCAGACTTGTAGCAACGTCTCCTCAACAGAGCAAACATTTTACACACAGTTTTGGATCCGACAATCGCGCGGAATGATATCATCAGTCTTTCCGGTAGAATCCACTCAGCGACTTAATTTGTTGCATGAATTCGCCGGCTTGTCTGGTAAATGCCACCAAAAGAATGTCTTAATTGGTAGCATTTATACTTTTGCAACACATCTATTGAACTATAATCGAATTGCAGGCCCAGATGTGTAGTGGATGTCTGTATAAGGGGTATGAATTATTTAACTCAACCGCCTGCTCTTTTTCCATGTTTTCTATTAGGCACATAGTTCTATAAAAACATTCACGGCCTTTCAACTTTTAGTGTCGTGGATATCGCGACGGGAAGCTTAACAGAACCGTTCGTTTATTTATTTATTTATTTATGCTTTATTGCAAAACCTTAAAAAAAAGGATTACAAAGGGCGGACTTAATGCCATTTGGGCATTCTTTCCCAGTCAACCCGGGGCGTGGACAGAGATCGTGGTAGGTGCAATAAGCTAAAAAAGATCATAAATACTAATTAATAATATCAAAAATGCAAATACTTACATAAAGTAAAAACTTTTAAACTTTGCCTTAATATTTATATCTACGTTATCTTTTTTTCTTCCTAACCTTATGCATGTTTTTAGTTGTCTACGCCACCTGCCTGACGTCAACGCTCCTTGGAAATAAATATCCAGATTGGGACCTGTTATCTGTGGGTCCCACAAATAATTGTCCCTTGTCATAATCGAACCTACGAACCCCAGCGCCCAAGTAAATGGCTTAGCAACTGCGCCACAGATTTAAAACATAATCAAATTTTTTTCTACCGATTTTAAAAAAGGAGGAGGTTCATCATCGTCATTTATGAACCAATTTGAAAAATTCTTTTTGCATTGGGTTCAGTGTAGCTGCTATATAATCCAATATTAATTTCATTGGCTATATTTCTTTATTGTTGTTGGGCTTTGGACTCCGGAGGTAAACTCCTAAAAATCAAATTGAAAAGGTATTATGACAGAGACTTTTGAAATCGGGTTTGGTTTGTTTTAATAAAGATGTACTTGTTTTTTAAAATCATAATTATTAATTTGTCAATTTAATGACGACTCCGTGGTGCAGTTTTCGAGGTATTGCCTTCGGCACCGAGGGTCGTAGGTTCGATTTCCGCACGTGACAATTATTTGTGTGACCTAGAGATAAAATTGTTTCAGAACTCGGTGTTTTTTCACAAATCGTTTTACAAACATTAATTTTTGAAATTAATGTTTGTAAAACGTTCTTACAACACAGGATAAAGAAACACAACAGTAAGGGAAATGGTTTTAAAAAAAAAATAAGTTCCGTGCATACCATACTCGGAACTTAATTATGATGTCTGCTTATATTTATTTTTTAATTTATTACGCAAAAGAATTGAATAATTGTATATAACAATATATAAAAAGGAGTTCGATCGGCGATAACTTCGTTACATTATTGTAACACGACCGTTATATGTGCAATTAGTTACTATCAGCGCCAGACCATTTCATAACGAATACGTACAGTGAGTAAATCTGGGCTTAGGTAATCGAGTTTCCGAGATACAGTTCGGCGAATGTTGCCTCCACATTGGATAACGTTTCGTAATATTGCATACGAATGTCCCAATATGTTAAGCCGCGTCCCTTATGACCATTAGTGATAAGAACGAAATAAAGTTTCGTAATTGTTTAATTTTTTATTTATGCAAGAAGTAAGTACAACCTGGACAAAGGATCCTGTTAGGGTATAATCTGATTGCGCGCAATCCCGCTGCGGAATAGCAGATTTCACATGTCTTAAAAATATTATTTCGTTATTTTCTAGGTGCGCAGGTATAGGACATTGTGTACAAAACTTTTTAAAGAATTTATCGCGTTTAGTTTGCTTACAGATTGTTCGTGCACTTTACAGGTATCTATTGTGAGACATATCGTTGGATATTTAAAATCGGCAAAATATTTCAATCTTCTTGTCTTTCAAGTTTTTAGGGTACAGACCCTAAAAACTTGAAACCCATAGGGTAAAACGGGACCCTATTACTCCGCTGTCTGTCTGTCGGCCGTCCGTCGATCACCAAGCTGTATCTGATGAACCGTGATAGTTCGACAGTTGAAATTGTCATAGATGATGTATTTCTGTTGCCGCTATAACAATAAATACTAAAATATAGAATTAAAAAACATTTAAGTGGGGCTCCCATTCTAAATGATTTTTATAGATAACTAGCTGCTGCCTGTGACAACGTCTGCGTAGAATAGGCTGAAGGCGTAACATTCAGACAGGAAGACAGATATACATGTACATATATAAAATATGTATATAAAATATAGCCTATGTCTTATTCTGATGTATAAGCTATATTATTGTAAAGTTTCATTTAAATCCATTCTGTAGTATTTGCGTGAAAGAGTAACTAACATCCATCCATACATACAAACTTTCGCCTTTATAATATTAGTAAGGAAGTAAGGATGGTGCAGAACCTTTCGTGTGGGAGTACGATTCGCACTTGGCCGGTTTTTCTTTATAATAAGTACTTCAAATATTTGTTGTATTCATCGTCGTTTAGACGGACCACATAACGATGGGACCGTGAGCTGGGATTGCAACGGCCGCGTTCCACTGCGATTCTCACTTCCTGCGTGACAGAAATAATCATCGGTGGCCGTCAAAGTTGAGTTCACCACGGCGGCAAAACGTTATTTTTAGAGAAAAAATTATGATACTTTCGACGATACCAAAAATTACTGTGACAAACAACTAATGTACCTGGTCAGACGTAGTATTTATATTCTGTGAAAGGTATCTCGGAGATCGGACCAGAAGTTTTCGGGACATAATCTTTTAATCTCATTATGTCAGAGTCGAAGTACTAATAATTTTGTGTTCCAATCGGGAAGGGACGCAAGCGGAATTTTACCCTGATGCTTGGTGACACGTCTATCACCACCTACGTAATGTGTACTTGCTTATTTCATTCTTTGAGGATACAAAATGCAAATAAACGCAGGATCTTCATAAAATATTCTCCTTCCCTCTGAGCGCGGCCGCCGCGATGCCCATAAACATATAGGGCAGAGACTTACGTACTGGTCTTAATAGCAGACGGAGCATACTCCGCGCTGCACGCTTTTGAGGCCGCGTAAGATTGTGTCTGCGTGTGACAGAGACAGGTGCGATGTTGGGTCCTTTCGTAGGCGCCCGTCCCGTTCTGGCCTCTTCCATACCCCTGCCGCTCCCCTGTCTGATCCGCAAAGGATTTTCCCACTCAAAAACCAAAGGAGTACGCATTCAGACCGACGCCCCCACGACACCTGCAAGGAGGCGCTCGCCGTCCGCCGCCACGTAATCCCGCCGCGGCACTTCCTGAACGTGGCGCAAGCCGCGCGAATGTCGGCCGAGCATTTCGCGCCACTTTCGCAAGCCGTTGCGTGGACCGGCCCGCGCGGCCCGTTCGCCCCGCAGGAAGTAAAAGTTCGGAGGTGAGAAAGTGGGTCTCCGCCGTAATTGGCAGCGCGCCTGCATACTGATGGCGGACGGTATAAATAGGCCACTGCGCCGGCCGGTGCCGGTGGTGGGACCGCGTTCCAGGGCGGCTCGCCGTGTCCAGTACTAGACAGTCCGCGACCCTTTTTTTCTTTTCGATTCATCCGTCCAGCCCGAACGGCCCATACTCATGTACTATTTTGTCTGCTCAATTCCAGACAGATGTTGACGCTACGCTTGACAGACTTGTGCCATAATTTTGTATTTTTAAAAACAGAGCCTTTTGCTGGTGCTGGAAGGAAGAGAGACATACCCATATGTGACATACCCATATGAGACATACCCTTACGAGATTATAGGCGAACAAAATAAAATAAACGTTCAGAATGCATTGTCATGGGCTCTGTCATCTATGCAGCTATACTATAGTCTCTAGGATTATATGTATATGCACAATGTGCAGATTTCTTAGCTCGTGGAGAGTTTAGCGTTTATAAAGTCACCGGGAGTGGAAAAACACGGTCCGAAAAAGATGACGAAAGGTTAACCGTTGTTGTTACTGGACGTGGTACAATCGGAAGGAATTTCAGTATTACCAGAGCGGAGGATGGGAGACATTTAGCGGTAATCACGCGGCCGATAAAGCACGTACATGGCACACTTGCGTGTGACATAACTTGCGTGGGCGGCCCTCGGAGCATCTCGGGAAGTAGGCCGCGCGAGATGCGCCGAAACTAATTGTTTGCGCAATTCCAGACGGTCGTCCCCGGTCGAAAGTCGACGCGCATCGCCGGCTTGGAACAAAACTGGCATTCTTCATGCATCTTAGCTAGCCCGGGACTATTTTCGCTCTGAACGTTCTTCGCAACAAACCAGTAGCAAAAACGTCATCGGTCTAATATGGGAAAAAGATGTCACTATCATGCAGGCATTCCACGCTATCCTTGTGATGTGTTGCCGAATAATTGATTATGTGGATAAATTAAAGAAAATTTTTAAACGTAAACTTTAATTATAATTCGATTAGTAGTGTCTGCACATTGACGGATGTGTTATAACAATTAATTATAACTTCATCCTCTGAATAGATTTCGATTGATGTTTACGGTTGTGTTCCGAATTATGCTCGTGTATGCGAACTTCAATCAATCACCGTGTTATACGATTATGACTCACCTCTCAATTACTATAGAATAATTTTCTATAACTTAATAAATATGGATGTTGAGTAAGAGTAAAATTTATTTCACAGATATCAGGACGTTTTACTAGAATATTTTAATATCAGCGTTCTCGTATTTTCTGTTATTGTGAAGGAGAGTTGAAAGAATAAAGCAGAGGCCGTCCGAGGTAATAACTGTGGGTAGGAAATGTTAGCAAGAGGAGTGTGAAAGTGTTACGAGGTTCGCAATCGGCGGTCTAAGGTTGCGTCAGACAGGGGAAGTGGCGGCTGGGGCCGAGGAACCTGGCCGGTGCACGATTGCGATAGAGGAAGCGTCGTGATCTGATGAGCTTGCCGCAAGAGACCAGACACCACTTGCGACACCAGCTATGCGATGCGATTCTGCCACCGATCCTTGTGAACCGCGCTTGCGAAAGACGTCGCTTGTTACGCTGCTTCACGTGTGAACTCGCCCGTTCACCTTTGCGCTTCGATTTGTTGGTCGTAATTAAATGTTGGATCAGCAGCGGCTGTAGCTCTAGTCCACTGTAAGGTAAATCACTGAAAACTTTAATATGTACATACGAACAGACGGTACGATACTAAAAGCACAATCATATAGATTGCATAAATGAATGAATTACAATAAATGAATGATTATATAAATGATGCTGAAACTTTGAGAACAATAATTTTTTATGTATTAACGAATGTAATTTAAATGAATTTTAAAAAAAGTTCATTTGATAGTTAAGTTTGAATCAGTTAGTTTTTTGAAATTTATCACGCGTTCGTAACCCATTAGCTTGCAGTAAAGAGGTATGTTCTGCTGTTCCATGTGTGTATCGATTCATTCGAGACAATTCCATGGAACTCGCTAAAAACAATTGTACAGTAAAAATGTTAAAACTTTTGCGTTTTGTCGATGATCGGAAAAAGTAATAGAAGTACAAATCTTTACAATTAGACAGCGAAAGTGAAAATGAAGCGCTTACCATCAGAAGAAATGCTTGCTCTTTTGCCACGCTCAGTCACAAGAACAACTTGTCATTTGAATAGCTGAACAGAGTTGAATATATGGTGTATTTTTAACCGACTTCGAAAAAGAAGGAGGTGTCTCAATTCTACCCTACATATTTTTATTCTTTTTGTGTGTTCGCGGATAGTTTCGTTGCTTATGAACCGATTTTGATGATTCTCTTTTTGTTGGAAAGGAGATATCCCAAGGGTGGTACCATAATAAGGAAACCAAGATCTGGTGATGGCATCCCAGAGAAATCCTGGGCAATCCTCAAATGTTATAGGTATTAACAGTGTTTTTTTTAGTTTCCGGTTTGAAGTCGGTTTTTTTTTGTTAAAAATTATACTTTTGCTGCGTCAAATACAACACGGTGACTAACGCCCGCGGCCAGGACGTGGCGGGCGCGATTACCGCGGCTCGCGAACGTCGCTCGAAAATTCTAGACCGTGTCGGAAGTGAACGAGGTATCTAGAACGGGTGTGGAAATCGCTTCGGCGTTTCGGCAATTCGGGAAACGCGGCGTCGCGCGGCGTGCCGGCGCCTTGTGAAACGCCGTCGCCGCCAATTTGCTAGCGTGGCGTTTTTACAAGCTGCTTTTTCCGCGTGGTCAGTTTATACGAGTCGTGGACGCCTGTGGGAATACAAAGTGCATCTTCTTTGGCGAGTTCTTAAGTTTTTTTTTTATGTGAAAAGGTAGCAATCTAGCTGGCGCTTCACCCGATGTTAAGCGGTAACCGTCGCCCATTGACACTGCAGACGCGTTGCTGCCTTTAAATAGAGGGGGCCTCGGCTACCTCACTCAGCAGACGAAGCGCAGAAGTACTTTCACTTGACGCCGGTCTTCTGCGAGGTCGTGGTACTTCCCCGGACGGACCTGCCCATTGGTGCAACAGCGAGGACTGTTGCGTGACCCGACCACAGTTAATGGCTATAGCAAAACGACGGGCATCCTCTTGGGTTATTGAATTCTTATTATCTCTTGCATTTTTTTATAACCTGATGCAACGTTGTCATAGCTTTTTTTCGCTTTGTGAAATGCCGCGACCGTCGCCGACAATTTGCTAGCGCGTGGAGTTTTTCCAAGCTGTTTCTTCTGAATGGACAGTTTCTAGTATTTTGGATGCGTTATGCTATAGTAATACAACTTTTTATAAGGAATGTTAATTTATTTATATATTTATATGCACTTTTAAATGTGTTTAATTATTTTAAATTTCATCTTGATCAATGATGCTAAAATTATATTTCAATAAACACAATTATTTATTACGACTCATGTAAGGCTTTCATCAATTCTAGATTCGCCGTGTCTTTATTAATTCGTTGAAAGCAAGCTCAGAACGCCATATAGGAAACATTTCCGGAGTACTGGAAACCAACTCAAAGTAGGAAACTTCGATTGACTTCAAAGGAAGCCGGAAGCCGGAAACGCGGCAAGGGTTAGACCGGAGGCGACGCGCGTTTCCGGCGGAAGTGCGGCGCCAGGAAGGTGGGTAGATACAGGGAAGATAAATAAACCGACGCCATATTGCCGCACGCGAATCGATGAATCCGTTCGATTTTGCGAGTTCTTTATGTAGAAACGGCTTCCGGCGCCTGCTTACTTTTGTATTGCGGGAGACGAATGGCTAAGCAAAATATTACAAAACTTGGGAACTAGCAGCAGCAACAAAAAATGTTCGTTTTTAAAATAAGAACGTGAATACTCAATCTGGAAATCAGACATTATTTATTTATGTAGTTACGCTTCATTGCATCACCGTAATATAAGGACTATTTAATGCCAAGTGGGATTCTCTTCCAGTCAATATTTCTTCCGTCGGATGTGTTTCCGTATTTCATTTTTAATTGGTTCCTAAAAACCTCATTACTGAATAATTTTTATAATCATTATACAATTACATACATATATGTCAGCTGTTATTAATGAAATTAATTTTAAAGCAACAATGATGTAAACATTATTCAAACGAAAAATTAAACCGCCGTTACAATGTCTCGAGCATTTGTCAACTTGTATTATGTTACTACGAGTATATTACTTTTTGTACTATGCTGATTGAACTTAAATCGTTGTGCGCATGCATTATGTATTCTAGCCATTTAGCGTCCTGTTCAAACCGTAGTCTAGCTGCGTAAAAACCACGATCAGAGGCAAAACAAAACGTCGGATCGAGGCGTGCAATACGAGGAAGGAAACAAGTTGATATTTGGCGTCGATCCACAGTCTCGTGCCTCGACCGGTTCTGCAAGTGTTATTCCGAAAACGAGATGACTCTGGACTTTCCGGACACATGTTATTTTTACTCGTGTCATGGGTTGCCACATTGTAAAAGCGCCACTTAATGGGTGCAACGAATTGCTGCTACGCGCCCAAAAAATCTTTAGCTAATATCTGTTTATTAACATGAAGAAAACAACAATCAAAATGTACACAACAGAGATGTAGCAATATTACGCAAAAAGTATTTGAAAAATTCAAAACAGCAATAATAATAATTACTCTTATGCAATATACTCTTCATTCAATTGGCAATTAAAATTTTCGTGTTTAAATGATAAAATTTAATTCTGAATTAATTTGATATCATTAAACAAATTCAAGATTATTACTTTCTGAGGTGTGGGACATTTTGGCAACTGGCAACACCGTAGAGCCAATAATGGAGGACGACAACGGCTTTTTTTTTTCCACGGACATTGGTGAAGGTCACACGGAACATTGGTCTAGCTGGAGACCTGTTATACCGTCTGATTACGCACAAAGTAAGTCAGCGGAAAAATAAAACCCAGCAACAGATGAAGCACAAATGGAATTTCGGTGACAGCGGTTTGCACGCGAATTAATTGCAGTTGTTTTTTTTTATATAGTAGTCAAGTATATTTCAATATAAATGCTAATCGTTAAACTTACATTATTATTTAAATAGAATCTATTCAGCATATGTAACTAAAGTGAGTGTATTTTTTTCTATTTTGAATATCTTTGATTTGGAGATTCGGTCTAAATTTTGAAACGATTAACATAAAATCTATTAAATTTAACGAAACAACTTTTAATAAATAAAATTTTCTTCGCTTTTAATTGTTCCTAGGTTTAAAATCGATCAAATAATTTTTCAGATCTTTCACCAAAATAAGAGAATTATGTAGAAGTTTCTCTATAACGTGCAGAAATTGTATTATAAAAAAATTGTTAAATTTTAAAAACAAATGCTAGTACTTTATGTAAAAAATGTTTTTTTAAGTTATACTAGCGACCCGCCCCGACTCCGCACGGATACAATGTATTATACATATAAACCTTCCTCTTCACTCTATCACTCTATCTAGTAGAAGGAATCGCATCAAGATCCGTTGCGTTGTTTTAACGATCTAAGCATACATGACTACGGGGCGATTTTTTTTATACTATGTAGTGAAGTTCAATGACTACTAAACTTAAAAAAATATTGACAATAATTTCTCATTGGAAAACTGGCAGCTAAAAAATAATAAAAGAAGTTTTTAACTCCGTGGAAAGGTAAAAAATAAGAGTAAATTCTTATTGGCTCTTACATGATTCAGAATTACCGATAAATATTGTAAATGCATGTAAACATCCTTTGTTATTCCCCACACGAACTTGTATTAGGAGTAGGTAGACGAGTAGATAAAATGGAGCCGTTCTCTCATCTTTATCTCCATTAATATGCATATTAAGCAGTTGTTGAATATTTATGCTCACAGAGAGAGGTCTCGATGACCGTTCTAGAGGTCAATGTCAGCTGAATAACAAGATCGATTCAATGAGAACCTTTCGCAAGTAGCAAGTCGTTCGAACGAGGCGCAAATCTTGGACGTTTTGTCTCCTTCCAGTAATCATACGACGTTGCTATTATTAACTTTGTTAAGATTTTTTTCCTTGAGTACTCTGGTACATAAAATTGTAATGTAGTAAAAATATTTATAGCCGTGAAAGTAGATTGATAACGAACACCTCAAGTGTTAATACGATAAAATATTATATACGAGATAAGCTCTAAAAGGATTATATTAAAATATGTAATCCTTTTTTAACTTTACTCAATAGCGTTTCATAAAAGATATTTTTCTAAAATTTACTACAATTTATTATTTATTACAAACGGCTAACCTTTATCTTTTATAAGTTATAAATGCTGCCTCCTTTCAAAGCCTGTGCATTGTGCTTGAATAAATTAGGTAGACATTATCTTAAGCCTCAGTGCTCTATAGTTTCTTGTTTCTGATTTATTTGATACTACTACTAGTACTAGAACAAGGTGAGTCCAGATGCAAGAAGCCTTTACTCCATATTTTGGATTATTCACATGAAAAATGTGTCGTTTATATCCATGACGGTCTACGCCGTTCGTTAGGAAGACACAAGAGCTCACGATTGTACTATGTTAAAACCTGATTCATGCGAAATAAATACTATCAAAACAACACGAGCACTTCTCTGAATGTACAAGTATTAAGATAATATTTTGTGAGTGTTTTTTATGATTTATGAGACGTACTCTGTGTGATGCGAATATTTTAATTAATTAATTATCTCAAGGAAAAAGATGCCGCATTTTCTTTTCTTTGAATTAAACGCGGGAATATGCTCTCGACCATAAGATAGAATGGTGTTCTAGTATTAATCAACGCTTTTGTAAGTTTTCTAGTGCTACGAATGTCCGGTGGTGATCATTTCATTGATTTTTTGCTTTCAGGAGCGGATTTTTGCATTATCCATAAAAAAGTCTGTCTGAAATGAAAAAATATAGCCCGTTATTCTTGCAACAGAAGACTGCTGCGTGGCACTACCACAGTAAAAAAATCAAAGCGTTCAGTCTGAATAAATTTAAACAGCTGCTTACAAAACTGTATGTTAGTCATTAATTCTATTTGTAAACATTTTCTATATTTTTAACGTATATTCATATTACTAACACCCACTTTTTTATTTCATATGTTGTCAATGTTATGTACACCGTCATTTTCATATGTATCAGCAATAAGTTTTTATAATCAAATCAACTATGTAAATGTCCAATATATATGATGTGGTTGTACTTTAAATAAATAAATAAATAAAATAAAAGCGTTCGTGGTCACGGGTCAGATATAAAATAATTTCATTCATTTTCGAAATAATAACAAAAAAAATATTTCGAAGATATGTGAAGTCCCTCAATCCGCAGTGGGGCCGCGTGGTGGACTAATACCCTCTGTAAAGAGGAGGCCTTTGCCCAGTAGTGGGACATGTAAAGGCTGATCCTTTACTACTTTTTACTTTACAATAAAGGAATAAATACTGTTATTTCAAATATTTATATATAGACACAGTATTAAAAAGAAATACAAATTCTAAATGTAAACTACCACATATTATTCATTATTATATCATTGAAGAGAATGCCCAAGACCGGGCGAAGGATATGCTTATTGGGAAACCCGACCCCGGAGATTGAGATAATGTCTAGAATGAGGAAGAATGAAAACGCAGACGTAGTAGCGGGCAGCAGCTAGTTTTAAATAAATTTACTCAATAACGTGTTCGAATTCATCTCCTATCCGTTCCTATCGAATATACAAACCACCTCAGCCACTCAATATGCGGAGATGGATCAAGTTGCATTAAATAAAAGAAAAATAACAGACTCTACAAAATGTTCCACTACTGAGCAAAGGCCTCTGTATTCACCACGCGACCCCACCGCGGGCTGGCAGAGTAGGTATCGTATTCCTCTAAACATGTTTCCTCACGATGTGTCCTCTCACCTTCAGCACTTATAATTTAATTAACAATGTCTTTGGTACCGACATAATTCGAACACGGGTTGTTCTAGCATATCGAACAAAAGGCGAACGCCTGTATGAATTTAAGATATTCAAACTGTTGTGCTACATTGATGTTGTCAGTCGCCGGTGGCAACGGTGGCGCAGAAGGCATGCGCGGCCGGCGTGACGGCGCGGCCAATTGGTCGAGATTGCGAGTTTCCGTCGCGCTGCTTCCGGCCGATAAAAGCAAGACCGCTTAAGTGCCGGACCTGCTAACGGTCATTGGACCCCCGCCTGCCTACTTGGGTCCGCGACGACCGCGCCGCGCTAGTGTGGGAAACGCTCCGCTTTTTCGCTCAGCAATCCCACTCTATACTCTATGATTTTATAGTATCTTTAACTATTTGATACCGGCCAGTCGGAATTATGACGTTCGAAAAAAAGTAATGGCGTTTTTGAAAAAAAAAGTACAGCTCAAATTATATTGCGATCGAAAAATGTTTAAAACAAAATATTTTGCCTGGTTCGTGATAGCATGTCCGTTTACCCTAACGAGTTAAAAGACGACTTTCTAGAACTTGAATCTTTTTAGTACCATTTTTAGATTAATATCACTACGAACAAAAGATTGCGCAGTCTTAATTGATAACTGTTATGCCGGAAATTAATGGCGTCGCCAACTTTCCGAGAATGAGAAGAAATATCAGCCTACGTTCAAAATAAAGAATCGCCGCGTTGGCTTTGTTGAATATGCTGTTTATCACTTTTTATTTGTAGTCGGTATGTCTTGTGACAGGAATCTATTTAAAGGCAAACTTTCCGTTCATCGAGACGTCTCTTAACAACGTGTTTTCCGCGTAATCTTATCTTGCGTGACTCGCGGAATAGGGGGCCTCCCGGATTTATTTCCTCTTTCAACTGCTATAACGGCCCCCATATCTCATGACATTTGACTTGTAATACGAGTGATTTTTTTATTAAATGGTATTTTCCGTACTGGGCCAAACTGTCACGTTATAACAAATGAGCCCAAAGCAAAATTTAGTATACAATAGTGAATAGGCTTTGGACAGCAATGCGATAAACAGTCTGTGTTTTATTTTCGGTAAATTATTTAAATACATCAACATCACTGTTTACTGCTGCAACCTAAATTACAATTTGTACGGTATTAATGATATCTTTTTTTTTATGCGAAAAGTTGTCAAGCGAGCAGACGGTTCACCTGATGTTAAGTGAATACCGCGGCCCATGGACATCTGCTACACCCGAGGGTTGCAGATGTGTTGACAACCTTTTGAAAATTGGTCTCCGGCCACCTAACTCACCAGACGAAACGCGAAATTATTATACTTCCACTTTACGACGGTCTTCTGTGAGGTCGTGGTACTTACCCGGACGAGCCTGCCCATTCGTGCAATAGCCGAGGCTGCTGCATGGCTCTACCACCGTATATCTTTTTATACACTATGTTAAATTCGATGTTTCGAACATCGAATATCGTTACAGCATGGTCATTGAACATATCAATAAACGCTCTGTGATTAGCTGACGATAGAATCCATAAATTATTAATTAAATATTAAAATTATTACATTGTTTAAATATTCAATCCTAATATTAAATAAAACCATTTATGGACTCTAAAACTGTGCAAACAGTTTAGAGTCGTGAATCCAGTGTGCCCGAAAAATCCGACAGTCGAACATTAATAATTGGTACATGTGTAACTATGAGAGACTTGTTGAAAATACCCTGCGTAAAATACTTATCTCGAAATACTCTGCTTATCTCGTTACTTTTCACTTCGTTCATTTGATACTGGTGCAATAATCGGAAACGAAATTAAACAAGTTATTTTAAGAGGCGGATTATGCCGTAATCGTCGCTGACGATGGTAGCATCCGACGACAGACTAATGTCATTACACGGCTGCCCGTCACATTGCATTCATTATATTAAAGATAGCGGGAGACCTTTGGCCAACGGTAAATAAAAACGAAGTATCTTTTAAACCAAGTGGGGACGGTAGGTAGTTAATAAAATACTGTCCACATTCCACTGGCCATATTTTCATGTAAATTATTGTTAGATCGGAAAAACTTTGTGAGGGAAATAACCGGGGCCAACCGTTTGTAAACATTGTAGATGTCAATGGGTGGTGGTCATCTCTTAACATCAGATGAACCACATGTTCGCTTGCCAACTTATCAAAAAAAACCCGCCAAGTGCGCGTGCCCGCGCACGAGATCCGTACTATCTATGAAAACGGCAAAAAAATCATGTCTGTTGTATTGGAGCCCTATTTAAATATTTTTTATTCAATTTTTTTAGTATTTGTTGTTATAGCGGCAAGAGAAATACATCATCAGTGAAAATTTCACTTGTCTAACTATCACGACTCATGAGATACAGCCTGGTGACAGACAGACAGTAATAGGGTTCGGATTTTCCCTTTGGGTACGGAACTCTAAAAACGGATTCGCGTTTGCAATGTCAAAATTTAAGTCAGAGCGTAGTGGTTGTGCCATGGTCAAAGGTAGATGCTCGTACTTTAGTGAATTCCATTTAACCGATTTCTGTTAGGTCTCTCTCAATCCCTTCGGGGAGAGCTGAAAAGCTAACACATGAAAAAGGGGGGCTGAAAATAGACTTTCATAAGGTGTGAAATATTTCTAGTTATTTATTGGCTGGCTTAAAATGGACATCGTGTATCCAGCCAGACCAACGGCAAATACAGAAGCATTTCAACTTTAGGTCCGTTCTGCGAGGCCGTAGTGTTCCCCGAGCCAGTCCATTCGTGCAAAACAGCTGCTATTACAACGATACGTTGTTACAACGATAACGTCATCGTTATAATAACGTAGAAGCTGGTAGCGGGAGTCTGGTTACATAATTTATTCGCTTTTCGCGGCGCCTCGCCTCTGCCGACGGAACCAATCGACGTTACAAAACGTCTCACTTCGCAACGTTCAAACAATCGCCGCTTTAATGTAGAGGAACCATACCGGTTAGTAAGCGTAACAGAAATACTGACCGAACAATTCAGTATAGGCTGAACTCTTTCCTGCTATTAAATAATTGCGAATTATATATCTACGAATATAAAATAGTATTCACTCAAGGGATCTCATTTTGTGATAACGTTATATTAAATAAATTTGTGAAACGATATGCGCCGAATTATCTTTAAGAGTTGTTTTACTAAAGCTCAAGGAAAGCATCTTGTGTTTCAAAAATTGACAAGATTTAAACGTGTATGAAGAGAAAAAAGTTTGTCATAATTATAAATATATAATTTTACTATGACTAATCGAGAAATTAAAACATACTTTTGAATAAACTGACTTGTGTGTTTTCTTACCTTCCTAGTTTGACAAATGAACCTATTTTACGGAATTTATTGCGTTTGATTTTCTACCGACTTCAAAAAAGGAAGACGTTCTCATTTCAACTGTATTTTTTTATGTTTTTTACCTCAGAACTTTCGAATGATTGAACCGATTTTGATGATTCTTTTTTTATTTGAAGGCTGGTGCTTCCTACGTGGTTCAGTGGTATTGGATCTTGGGCTCCTGAGATACTTAGGGACCTCCTGAAAACAAATGATAAAGTAAATACAGAGCGAGATATTTGAAGTCAGTTTTGTTTTTCGTTAATAAAAAAATAGACTTTTTAATGTTAAACTCGTTACGACTATTACAGTATCTATGGCCACGGGACAGACCCTTGTTTGTTATATTTAATGGTAAAGACTATTCGTACCCATATAATAAATTGATAACAACATTTTATAATCTATGCCCATTTGTAAACCCGGAACTGTTGTGATAAATAATTATCAGCAAATCTATTGATTTTCGCAATTTTCGTCACGCCACGAATCTCAACGCTGGCTTGTATGTAGAAGTTTCTATTATCTATTTTCATTTAATGTGATACCATATCGTGTAGCTTTAAATACTACGTGTATGATTCATGTAGCCTTTAATGCTATATTACGGTAATCTCTACACTTACGACTGCCCAAAAATTAATGAAAGAAATATTAGCTGGGATTTTTCATTGCCCGGAAGTTGGCGTTGGTAATTAGGTTTGACGGGATAGTAGATTAATGCAAATTGATAATAAATTAATTATGGATTGAAAAAAAAGTTGGTCATAGGTATATATTTTCGGTTATTATACGAGAAATCAAAACTTTTATTTCAATAGTTAGCTTGTGTTTTATTCTCTTGCTTATTTGACAAACGAAACTATTTTACGGAATTCTAGCGTTTGATTTCTAATCTTAACCTCGTTTTAACTATTACACTATCATTGGTCACACTGACAGACCCCTGTTTGTTATATTTAAAAGTAAAAATTGCTCCATGGCAATATATTAAAATGATAATAATGTTTTATAATCTATGTCCAGACGTAAACCCGGAACTGGTGTGATAAATAATTATCAGCGAATGTATTGATTTTCGCAATTTTCGCCACGCTGCTGACGAAACACTCGAGTGTTACGGTAAATTCGGCAACAAGAAATTTATCATTTATTGCGGGTATATCATGTACAATATTTTATATGACAGCTTGGCAGTTTCTTCGAGTGTATAGATAATGTATCGCACATTTTTTATGTTCAAGGAAGTAATCGTTGCATTTTTTACACGAGGAAACAACAGCTCTGCTGTGTCACCAACTGAGAACGTGATACATAGTTTTCTTAAGAGGTAACTAAGAGAATCATCTACAGTCGTATGCCATTTGCCGAAACATTCACATGGAATTTAGATGTCGTAGATTTCGACGAGTAGTTATGCACCTACAGCAGTGAGTAGAAAATGCTTTTAGGATATAATTCCGTACAGATGTAAATATCTGTATAATTATGTAAGTACATAATTATACAGATATTTACCTCCGTACATCAGTATGTAACAAGAAAATACAAAATTAAAAGATATCAAAACTTAACGCGTTCCTACACAAGTGAGATGTGTAATATTGAAGTTTATCAAATACGTAGTTACGATAATTGAATATATTGTCCTTTTTCTTTTATGTTAGAATTATCTATTCATGATGGAAAATGTGAGCTTTAAGTAAGGACCGAAGTTATACTTTTTCAAAGCAAATATATCTATTCAATTCTGTATTCCCCCTAAATCCGCCTCTGTGAGCTGAACGGCAACTTTGTATCAACGAAAGTATTACGACTTACGGAATACAAGAAATAAACAAAAAACAAACGTTTTATAAGTTC